GACTCCGGCGCGTGTGCGACGGCCTTTGCTGGCGGGCAGGTGGCGTGGCGGTGCGGGGGCGGTGCGGGGGCTGCGCTGGCGCGCCGTTGGCAGCGGCACGGGAGGGCTTTTGGCGCTCGCGCCAGCTGGCAAAGAGGGCGCACAAGAGCTGCTCGCCGAGGTTGACCCGAAAGTCCTCCTGTCGGCAGGCGAGGCCCGAGCTGACCGGAGATGGCGGCGGAGGCCACTTGGGTGCCGCTTGGGTGCCACTTGGGTGGTGGCCTCTCGGCGGTCTCTCGGCGTCATCTCTGGGACCTGTCCGGCGATGCCGAGCTCAGAGGCGTATCCTACGGCCGTGGGGCACGCGTGAGGCATGCGGAGAGGGGAAGGGGGGGAAGCGGCGAGAGGAGAAGCTGCCCTCGGCGTTGAAGGCGCTGCTCGCGCACAGCGTGAGCTCGAGCGCGCCCGAGCGAGCCGATGCGGTGAACCACGAGGCGCTGTACGTGCCTGGCGGGGAGGAGGGGAAGCACAGAACACCCGCCCGGTGAGACACGCGGCGTTGCATGTCCGACTAGTCGATCTCTGTCTGTCTGCCCGTCCCCTCGACTGTCCGTGCTCTAGCCCCCTCGGGCGGCGGCGCACGTTGCGCCGTCGGCTCGGCCAGCTCGGCGAGCAGCTTGTCGTACTTCTCGCCCGCGTCGAAGCGGCGCACGCAGCTGCCCCGCGGCAGCACCTTTGCAGACGCCGCAGCCCGTCACACGGCCGCACTCGCAGCCGCACCCCTCTGCAGCCGCACCCCTCTCCCCCGATGAGAGACGACTCGCGGAGGAGGAGAGGGCAGGGGGGAGAGGGCAGGGGGGAGAGGGCAGGGAGGAGAGGGCGGGGGGGAGTAGGGGGGAAGAGGCTGGTTGCGCGGGAGGAGGCGGAAAACTGGAGGAGACCGGATGGCGTACACGTTGAGACAGGAGTCGCAGGGGCCGGGAGGCGACGCGGGTGAAGCACCGTGCGGTACCCATCCCCACGGCGCTCCGCAAGGGGGCAGAGGCGCGAGCTAGTGGGCCCGCACCGCTCCTTGCGGGGATGAGCGCACCCCGCCGGGGGAGACAACCCCCCCCCGGCGCAGCGCGACGCCATTGAGCAACTAACGTCGGCCGCGACACGGGGAAGAGGCTGGAGAAGCGCCTCCCACAGCGCGCAGAGCCCGCGCGTGTCCTCGGTCAGGATGCGCCGCTTGCACGGCAGCACCGCCAGCCGCTTCACAGCGGCGCTGCCTCGGATCGTTGCCACCTGGAGTCGGCGAGAGGCGGCGGAGGGGTGGGTCTCGAGGCGGCGGCGGCAGATGGAGAGGGAGAGGGAGAGGGAGAGGGAGAGGGAGAGGGAGGAGCGGCAGGGAAGGGGGTGCGGGAGAGGCGGGGAGGGAGAGGGGGAGGACGAGGGAAAGGAGGAGGGCGAGGCTTCCGCTGGAGGAGAGGCGCACCCGGTGGGAGGGCGGAGCCTCGCTGCAATCTCCGCTCCCGCCTCTCTCGTGCCGCCGCGCCAGATCGCCGCCCGCCGCCGCGCCGCCCGCGCCGCCTCCCGCGCCCGCCGCCGCGCGCCAGCAGGAGAGGGACGAGTCCGAGGTTGCCACCCAGAGCAGCTCTGGCGCCCAAGCCGGGCGGTGCAGCCTCAGCGCCGGCGCGCCGACCTGGCAGACCCCTCGCGGCGGCGGCGGCGGCGGCGGCGGCGACGCGTGCGCGGCGAAAGAGTCGTCGAGGACCAGTCCGTCGCGGCCGCCGTAGAGGACGCGGGAGCACGACTCGTCGACGTCGATGCAGAAGACCGAGTCGCTGTGCGGCCTGGCGGGCGGGGCGGAGGGGTCGCGGGAGGAGAGGCGCCGGGGTGCGGGAGCAGCCGCCGCCGGCGTGCGTCGCCTGAGCTCGGCCTAGACACTTCCTAGACACTTCCTAGACACTTCCTAGACACTTCCTAGCCGGCGTGCGTCACCTGAGCTCGGCCTGCACGCGTCGCTGGCCGATGCTCCAGAGCTTGACCGAGCGGTCCGAGCTGCACGAGACGAGGCAGCCGCCGTCGGCAGAGATCGCGATCCCGCGCACCACGTCTGTGTGGCCCACCAGAGAGCCGACCGCCGCCGCCTGCGCGCGAGGGTCCCAGAGGCGGAGGGTCGCGTCGACGGCGCCCGTGGCGATGAGCCCGCCGTCGAGCTTCACCTACGGCGCCACCGCCCCGCTCAAGCAGCCGCCTGTGTGCGCCGGCGCGCAGCGCCCGCCCCTAACCGCCAGCGCGTAGATGGAGTCTCCGTGCGCCCGCGCGCCCTCGCTGCCGCCGATGACGACTCGCGGCGCCAGGCGCGCCACGTCCCACACGACCACGCAGCAGTCGCAGCCGGCCGAGGCGAGTGTGCCCGCGTCCGCCGCGTACCCGAGCACCTTGACAAAGTCGGTGTGCTGCCGCAGCGTGTAGCACTTTGACGGCGTCCCCGTCTCGCCCTCGGGCCGCCAGAGCTTGATCGTCCGGTCGCTCGAGGCGGAAACGACAGCAGAGGTCAGATCGCCGTCCGTCAGCAGCGCGAGGTCGTTGACCCAGTCTGTGTGCTCGTCCACGGTGAAGCGCAGCCGCGGGACTCCACCACCCTCGGGCTCGCGCCAGCAGCGCACCGAGCCGTCACGGCCGCCGGTAAAGAGCTCGCGCGACGATCCCCACGCCGACGCGCAAGTCGAAGCCAGCGCGTTGATGCCAAAGCGGTGACCCTCAGACGCGCCATCGTCGAGGAGGGTGAGCGTCACCGACTTTCTGGACGCCGACATACACACCAGCCCAGCCAAGGGCCGAAGCAAGAAGAATTTAAAGGATCACTCCCCGCCCTTTCTCAGAGCTGTGTTTGCGCTCGCTGTGCGCTCTCCCGTTGCTTCATGTTGCTGGCTACTCTGGAGTCCTCCTGGCTGCTCTCCGCCCACCAGCCGGCCACAGGCCGTCAGTCTCACCGGCCGGCGTCGAGAGAACGGCCACACTCGACCGACCGGGTGTCGCGCCGCTGCCTGCTTCTCGCGCCGCTGTAGCAGCGCCAGCGGCTCGGCCGCGCATCCTTCACACACGCCGCCACGACCAAGCTGAGCGGGCCCAGTGTCGAGGTCTGGTGCGAGCTGCATGTGAGGGGCGGCTTTGGCCACAGCAGGTCCACCAGACGGATCTCAAAGCTTGCCGTCGGCGTGCTGTCGTGGCGAGAGCCGAGACCGCTGCAGAGGAGCCGAGTGCAGTGACGATCCAGAGGCTACCAGGGCCACCAAGTGGTAGCCCTTGTCAATTATGAGCAGGGCTGTGCTTTGGTGGGGTTGTGCTTGAGCGTGTGTGAAGTGGGAGTGCGTGCCGGCGGTGTCTGTGGGTGAAATAGGCGTGTGTGAGGCCGTAAGAGCCGTGGTATGAGCCAGAGTGAGCTTCATCACCCAAGATAAGTGCGGTCTGGGACAGATTAGGCTTGGTACTGATGGGCCTGGGCCAGGAGAGCGACAGAGATGGCGAGGTGGTGAGCTGGGAAGCCGCTTCGGCACCTGGACGTGTCGCGATGAAGTGCCAAGAAGCGCCGTTTGCGGCTAGTGCTCAAAAGATTGGGAGAGAAGGCCTACATATTATGACTGCATCCATGCACCTTGTGCATAGGGGCTGTGGAACAGGACATTTCACGGTCGGTGGCGCCGATAATGACCTCCGTAAAGCCCTCGGAATCGCCTCGGATGGGGTCCACCGGAGACAATCTCGAGCCCTCTCCGTGGCATCACGAGCCGGTGTGAGCTTGCAGACCCAAGGTAAGTGCGGTTCGGGACAGCTCGGGCCTGCTACTGATGGGCCTGGGCCAGGAGGGCGACAGAGAAGGCGAGGTGGTGGGCTGGGAGCATGAAATAGCGCTTCTTGACACTTGCATC